TTCACCGCCTCCTACTTCCTATCGTTGTAGGGTGATTTCTTAATTCTCTCCCTAATTGTAGGGCTTCTGTTTATCTAGACCCCAGGCGACTCTGCTCGTTGTTTGCTCTGTGTTTCCATCACAACTTTGATTTGGTCGCAAGAGGGGATGAACAAAGCCTCTATCATCGACACCATTTTGCCTGGGCTCCCAACAAATGTTTATTGTCTTTCATGGGCCAGCCCTGAAATAGACACTGGAGCTACACAATGAAATTAGTCAAAGTTTCTGCCTGTAGGAAGCTCATTGCCTAAAGGGAGAGATAAACAATGAAATCAACAACCACAGGACCCTAGGAAAAGCACTTGCTGAGCTGAGCCTGGTGTCCTTGGTGCTTTTGTGCTTCAGGAACAGAGAGAGCTCTGGGGTCAGGGAAGACTTATGGGGTGAGGTCACCCTTGACTGAGTTTTGAAGAATGTAAAATTAGCTCCATGAGGCAGGTGGGAATAGCCTGAGGGCAGTCATGGGTGTGAAGCAGTGTGACACATTGTCTCCAGGAGCCAGGTCCTTATGGCTGGAGTGCTAGGCGTTCAGAGAGAAGCCCACAGGGCTCTGAGGCCAGTGGAGTTTGATTTGGATACTGAGAGCCAAAGGCTCCTGTCTTTCTACCTTGCCTTCCTTTCTGGTCTTCACATTCTCACCCCCTTCTCTTCTTACTGCCCTTACTTGTTTCCTTAACCCCCCTCTTTTTCAGGTCTCCCTGTTATCTTCCTCTCTTCCCACGCAAAGGCTGTCTCTGTTTCTTCAGCCCAGCCACCCCATTATTTTTCTGCTGTCAACCTTCCCTCTGAGGCCTCCTTATCTCTCCTCCTTCATCGAACACTAAGTCATCAAAATTAAACCTCAGCCCACCATTTGGATATCATAACCACTTTGTACAGTATGAAGATTACTGGGGTACAAATTGTACACACAGATGCAAAATTACTGGTAGCTTAGTTATAGAGTCAGTTTATCTTTGCAAGTGTGTGTTGGATATCTTGGCTCTACCCTGCCTGATCCTGTGGCCACCTAGCCTGGCTGCCCTTTCTCTCTCTCTCTTCCTTACATTCCTTTTACATGATTAGAAAAACTGGCTCTTCTGAATCCTGTTGACCCAGAGCCCACCAGCAGCGTATGGATCCTTTGTTCAGTCGGCCTACATACACTGTGCAAGTATATATTAGAAGTAAAGGCTATTGTGGGATGTTAAACAAAAATTTTAACTTCCAAAGCTGAATGTCTTTTTTAAAAGAAAGGGTTTATTGGGCTATTGCTAGCAAGAGAAAGACCAGGTCCTGGGTCATGAAATCTAAACCACCAGCAACGATGCCAGATGGACAAGCCAACATGTCCACCGTCCTGAAGTCAGTGGCCTTTTTTATACATCAAGTAATGGGGGGAGAGATGTAAGTTGTTTTAAAAGAATTCACATTGGCTACAAATAAGGATAAGGTGAAATGGGGGTAACAGCCTGAAAAGTTTATGTGTAAGCAAGAAGTGGAGGCTCCTGGGGTGATGCCCACTGGAAATAACCACCTGGGAGTTAATTCAAAGTCCCAGCATACACTCTGGAATGTAAGCAGTCTTTTGTTGGTTTTGCACTGCAGTTGTTAACTGATTAACTCCTACTTGTATCTTCCTTCCACCCTCTGGCCTGCTGTAATATAATTTAGGTCATCTCAGAATTTTCTCCTTATCTGATGAGAAGTGGCTCGTGTCTATGTGTGTAAGTGGGGATGCCTCTGGACAAAGGGAGGAAGAGAAGAGTGAGAATTTATATTTAACCACAGGCCTCCATCTGTCTGTCTGTCTGTTTGTTTACCTGCCTACCTGTCTTTATGGAATGGTATTTTCCTGTAGTGCCCTGACCCGAGGGTGGTTACTTAAAGCAAAAGATTTTATTTGAGAAAGGGAAGGAAAGGTAGAGAAGAATCAAAACAAGCATGTAAAATGATGGGGCCCAAAGAAATCCATAGGAACATAGAAACACTGAGAATGTTAAACTTTTTGCTTTCCTTCCTGGGGTTCCTGTTAAGCATAAAATGTCACACCTCTAACCAGACAAACCAGCCCCACTGAGCCAGTAGCTGACACTCTCGAACCACAGGATAAGCAGTCTGTCAGCTTGTGAATGTTCTTGGGCCAGCTCCTCATGGGGCAGTAGGTATGTACACTGAAGATATCTTTAGCTTCTATGTAATTTTTCAATTTAATTTTTGAATATGTACTATGTTTACTTGGTTTAAAAATCAAAAAGTGTCAAAGGGAAAGGGAAAATTCTCCCTCTCATTTCATTATTTTCTCACCCCCTTCCACAGTTAATCACTGTTATTTGTGTGTGTGTGTGTATTTCCCCCAATTTTTTTAAGGAAATAAAAATGTAAATTCTTATTCCCCCACTTTCTACACAAATTGTAGTATGTGATACCAGTGTTCCACACCTTGCTTTTCTTCATTGGCCATTGTATCTTGGAGTCTTTCCGTGTTGGTGCATAGACTCCTGCCTTGTTCTTTTTACAGCTGCACGGTAGTCCCTGCATCTTACGTTATACAACCAGTTCCCCATTCATTGGCATGTAGAGTTTCCCCAAGCCTTTGTTATTATGAACAATGCTGCACTTACGTAACACTACATATGTCATAGGCAAGTATATGTGTAAGGCACATTTCTAGAACAGGAATTGCTGGGGAAAGTGGAAATTTTGATAGATACTGTCAAATTTCCTTTCCTAGAGGTTTACCAATATACATTCCCACCTCTTCATCTACTTCCCTTTAGCTCTGGCAGCGGAGTGGGTTTTGAAACTTTCATGGTTTAACAAGCTAATAGGTGAAAAATGGCATGTCAGCAGAATTTTCATTTTCATTTCCTTCAAAGAAGTGGCTGAATAAATATTTAAGAGCCATTTGCATTTGTATTTTCAAACTGTCTTTTTCATCTAAAGTGAATTATCTTTAAAGTCCAAGCTCAGAGCTTCCCACATGCATTTGTAATGTCTCTGGAATCTTTGAGAAAATACATACTTTTATTTAAAAAATAGCTTTTGACATTCTTTGATAATAAAAGAATTGCTATCTACAATTCACCTCTGAACAATATGAAAACACTACAGGTATTTTGAAATTAACTTCTGGCAAACACAACAGAATCTGAAAAGAATAAAATCAGGTCCCCAGAAATCCATGACACTATTGAAAGGCTCATTAGAGCCTTTGTAAATGTAACATTTTCATTCCTATAATAAATATTTTCCCCATGAATCCATCTGTATCCCCCTCCCAAATAGCACCTATCCTCTTCCCTAGTCTTGAGAAGAGCATAAAGAAGCCTATACGTGCTTTAAATCAACCCTCCCTGTGTCCCCTGTAGCGTGGATCCCATTCCCCAGCAGTCCCCAAATGACCACTACTTCAGGCATTTGGGAACTAGATAAGAGGCAGAGCACTATGCATTTCCCCACAGATAGCAAACTGCTGAGAGACGCTCAGCTGTTAGTAAACCTGGGCTGCAAACAACTACCTCTTTGAGAGAATAGTTGAACATTTTATTTTGTTGTTTTCAATCCTAAAATTAATTTAAGATTATGGCCCACAGACTTATGGACCTTTAATAAACAGAAAGTGGCAGTTCTCAAATGACTTTCTCCCTAGTGGTCCTCATCAAGGACCCCCAGGACAGTCCTGGGTGGGGGTCCCCAGGTAAAGAGGCCCTGGCCAGTGGCCAACAGCACCTGGATTTCAGGATTTGTTGAGACAGTAGCGTTCTGACGAGCACAGCTGTTTTCTTCCCCACCCTTCCTCACCCAGCCCAGACTGGGAATCCACCTCCTAAACTGGCCCAGCTGGTGTGGCCTCTAATGAGTGGTTGGGTCATAAGGAGGACTTGGGCTGGGAGAGAGGCTGGAGCCCCCAGGGGTTAATTTGCCCACATAGTTTTCAGCTGACTCAAGTCTCGGCCATCAGGCTTCCCCTGCTCTCCCTGCCTACCAGTCCATCCTTGAGAACTCAAGACTCAAAATTTGGACTATTCCTTGGGCCTGGGAAGCTTGGGGAAGACCTCTGATTCTGTTTGTGGGCCAGTCTGCTGGCCTCAGCCTCTGTCAACAAACCCGTTTCCCGATGTGGCCTCAGCTCCCCATGAAGACCTTTTTCTGTTAAGTAGCCTCTTAGATCAGCTACTTCCTTAGGGAAAACCTTCTGTCTGGCGATTTGGGGGTGGGAAGGTACACACTGGCCCAGCTGCGAGGGTCATGGATGGGTGCTGAGATTCCGGGAAGCACATGTGCCTTCAGGCACTGTGCCACCCCTCCTGTTTGTTCCTGAGAGAAAACTAGAGAACCCTGGGTGGGAATTCTGACCCAGAAGAGTCCTGCCATTGGGACCCCATCTAGCAGAATTCCTTGTCTCCACAAGAGAGCCCCATCTGGCTTCAAGTAGGTCACCTGGCAGATAAAGGCTACACCTCAGGGTTGGTGACCCCACAGGAAGGGGTAACCACCCATCTTCCCATCTTGCTCAGTTCTAGCCTAGAGAAAGGGGAAAATATCTGCTGAAGATACACAGGGGTGGGAGGATGGCACAGCTGTTGTTTCTGAGGAGGGGCTTCCATCACATTTTCCACCCTGGCCTAGAACCTGGAGTTTCCAGTTCAGTCCAGAGCTCACTTCCTCAGCTCAGCTCTAGCCTTGGAGATCACCAGACCCCAGCCTCCTTGTCATGCCTGAGCCCCTGCCGGGAGCAAGGAGCTAGAGGTGACGAGATGCCACCATACTTTCAGTCAGCACCATCCTAATGCCATCTCTCTGTCCCAGGCCTCCCCTCTGCCCACCTGCCCTTCAGGGCTTAGTTGGATCAGCTCTGCTATGGGGGCCCTCTGGCCGCTTCCAGGCCATGGCCAGTCTGGCGGGGTGGAGTGGCACAGCTTCCAGGGCAGCTCTCTGGCCAGGCCTCGCTAGGCGGCCTCTATAGATGTCACCACTCATGCCTTCTTCCTCACCAGCAGCACCCAGGGCAAGATGGCGGCTACCACAGCCACCACAGCGATGAGGGTGATGAGCAGGAGGGCCCGGGAGCGGCAGCAGAATGACCGGGTGGAGCTGGGTGCCGGGGATGCCTCAGAGAGCTCTGCCAGGCTGCGCCGCGGCAGGACACTGTCCTGTTCCCCCAGAGGCATCCCATGGCGGCTGATGATGAAGATCTGTGGCTCCCGGGGCAGGCTGGGCAGCAGGTCCAAGGGGAGCTGGCCACTCTGACTTGGGGATGGTCTCCAGACAGGTTGGGAGATGGCCAGGGGGTTTGTGTGGCCCAGGGTGTCTGATGGTGGCCCAGAGGGCAGGCCCATTGGCACAGTCAGGGTCTGGGAGCTCTTGTCCAGCATGGAGGGCCAGCGGGAGCTCTTTTTGCTGAGGAAGGTGACGTAACGGCAGATGGGGCAGACAATGGTCCTCTGGACCTGCCCGTCCACGCGGGTGGAGAGTAGGTACTTGACTAGGCAGTCATGGCAGAACACATGGCCACAGCTCAGCGTCCGGCTGGCGCCCTCCAGATCACGGAACTTCTCATAGCACACGGGACACTCGCTGCCGGAGCTGTCCTTACTCTCCCCTTCCGACATGGCCGCTCTGGGAAGGCGGGGCCTTAGCTGTGGGAAGGAAGGGCTGTGAGCATCAGTGCCTTTTTCCTCCTTTGCTCCCCTCCCTAACTCCCTCCACCTTTGCCGCCTCCTTCCCTTTCTTCTTGTCTCCTGTTCTCTATTTTTCCCTCTTACCCTTCCCTCTTCTGCTGCTCCTCCTCAGTGGCCTACCTGAATTAGAATTAAACTAAGTCATGAGACCCTTAGGAGGAGATGAAGAGGCACTTCTGGAAAGGGGAACTGGGAAACAGATAAGAGAGATCCCAGCCCAGACACATTGGATTCTGGCAGGAGGTGCATGGAGTGTGATAAAGATATAGCCTCCCTGATACTTCACTTCAACCATGACATGCACACATGATGAGATCACCACCTCACCTCTTCCTGGTTCCTTGCTGGAAATGAAAGCAGGAGGACCCAGTTCCCAGGGAAGCAGGTAGCTGAGCAGATGCTCCCCGAGCCTCAGTCCAGGCCCCAGTGGGGGCCTGTGCCGAAAGTGGCCATTTTTCAGAAAAGCCTCTGCTGCTTCTCAGTCTCCCCACTCAGGGGTCAGCCGATCCATTGCTTTGTATCCAGCCACTGGAGTGAATTCCTCTGTGCTATGTGTGGCTGTAAAACAATGACTGTTTTGAAAATAAAATGTAGAACTTACACTTCCAAATGCCTGCTGGTCCTCCGTGTAGTCACGTCAGGGAGCTGTGGGCTCATTCCTCCACCTGCCACAGCTCAGTCATTCTTCAGAATCTTCCCAGTGAGCTTCCTGAGGCTGCCAGAGAACCTTCTGATTAATCTCGGTGAAGGCAGATCTTCATCCTTCAAGGATATGTCTGGTATTGTGAAAATGACCAGAAGTCACCAGGAGCCAAGCCTGGTGGGAAAGTAAATGAGTGCTCAAGTGGCATGATACTGTTTTAAATTAAAGATACAGAGTCACCATAAAGTTACAATGTGGATTTTAAACATTATCTGAGAGCAAAGGAGAGGCTCCAAAAATGTTCTCAGCAGAATTGTTGATTAAGTACACAGCTTCCCAAGATGATGACCTTGAAGGGAACCAGCCATTTGGGTATGGGGCGAGGCCTAAGTGTCCTCATTTAAAAGTCCCCAGTATCACAACTGTGTAGTCTAAACTAATCTAGAACAGCCTCCTTAGAAGGAACCATGATCACCTGTTATTGATATATATCCTTCCATCAATGACAAAAGACCCCTGGACATACTGACAGGTAGAATGGACAATTACATAATAGAAACAAGATTAGTTAACAGGAGAACAACTACAGTTTGTCAAATCACAAATCTTTTGGAATATCTCCCCTCTCTTGGTAAAATCTATTTATCAAGTTGAAAATGTTTCATAACTAAGAAGGAGCAAAAATATGTAAAGGTAATTTCTCCACAAAAGCCTGATGAAATTTGGGGGCCTGGGACACTGCAGGCAGCACCAAAACCTGTAAAAGGGTTTTCAAACTTTGGTTTCTGAGGTCAATGTAGCTCCCAGGCTGGGACTGGGGTTTCAAGTGCTCAGACCCTAGAGTGGGGTTCAAATTCCTGATATGCCTATTATTGTCTGTATAACCTCAGGCAAGTTGTTTAACCTATCAGAGCCTCAGTTTCTCATCTGTAAAATGGGGTCGATAATAATAGTATTACCTTCCTCTCAGAGTTGTTCAGAGTACTAAGTGAGCTAATGTGCGTGAAGAGCCTGGCACAAAATAAGTGCTTGATAAATAATAGGTGTCACAGTCAAGACAGGCCAAATTCTCTCCCCTCTTAGCGTCTGCCTTTACTTCTTTCTCCTTACCAGATGGTCCTTATTATGTAAATGACTGAAAAATCACACACCCCTGACAGAGGGCAGCTCCCCTCAAATTAGAATAACTGAACAAGGTGACAATAGATTAGGTAAGTGATGGGCAGTAGGTAAAAACTAAGATGGTGATGCCAGTGTTTCTCAGCCATTTTTGTTTCATAATGCTTGCAAATGTCTAAACTGAACTGGAGTTATTCTCGGAATGACCGTGATTTTCTTAAGCTAACCAACTGCTAACATGTCCTCCTGTGTTTCATAATTTCCCATAGGCATATAGTGGCAGTTCATTCCATCCATCCATCCTGCTGCATGCTAGGTATTGAGCTAGGCATTGGAGAAAAGTGGTGATCAAGCAAGTCCTTCATGAAATTTTAGAGCTTAGTGGACATTTATAAATTTTCTTGAAAAAGATTTTTAAGAAGGAATAATCAATAGCTTAAATTATTTAGGTAACAGAGAGGTAGGTATCAAGATAGGCAAGAGAATTAAAGCAGATAGATAAGAGAATGATACGGGAAGAAAGGACTTTTGAGGTGATTTAGTTAAATTTAGTTTCATAGGTGAGCAGCCCCATGTCCAGAGAGGAGGAAGTGACTTGTCTGAGGCCACCTGCAACAGTGATGGAGAGGGAGATGGCAAAGGGAGGGGAAAGAGAGAAAGAAAGACAGAGAGAGAGAGAGAGAGAGAAATTCCACAGATGATACAAGACCCCCCAACCCCTGGGCTGTGGACCGGTACTGGTTTGTGGCCTGTTAGGACCTCGGCCACACAGCGGGAGGTGAGTGGCAGGCAAGCAAGCAAAGCTTCATCTGAATTTGCAGCCACTCTCCAGTGCTAGCATCACTACTTCAGCTCCACCTCAGATCATAGGGCATTAGATTCTTATAGGAGCACTGGTCCCTGGTGCCCAAAAGGCTATTAGAATCAATTGATAGATTGAGTGAGTAGATATTAGCTGACTCAGTAAGCACTATCTTCCTTGAGACGAATAGGGGAGCGGGGAGGAGAGCCTCTATTTTTCATGTGAGTTTGTGGCAAAGTAAGGGATCCACACGATGCAAAAGATATGCCAGTCCTCACTGATGGCTTTTCTGGGCAATCCTTTCTCCTGCCTGTGCTTCAGGAGAGGCATGTCACTCATGCTTGGACAATGCCACCCTCCTTCCCCACCTTCTTCTCAACTCTCTCAGTCTTTCCCTGACCTCTCCTTCCTTGTGTCCTTCCCTTTCTCTTAATTCCGTTTCATTCTTTATCCTGAGTTCCTCTTATGGGACTGAGTGCCTGGGCAGGGGAGAGGTCAGCAGAAGAAATATAAGGATCATGCTATGCTCTGGTTTGGGCACAAACTAGTTAAATAACAGTGCGATACATTTTATGCCCAAAGGCATTCCCATTGGTGCTTTAGGAAACTGCGGGGAGGCGAGGGTTGGAAAGTCTTCCTAGGTGAGGTGGGACCAATGCTGAGTTAATAATAAATAATTATAACAGCGACTATTTATTGAACATTAATTATGTGCTTGGCATTTTGCATTCCTTCCTCATTTAATCCTGACGACTCTAGGAGGTAGGTATTATCTCCATTTTACAGATGAGGGAACTGAGGCTCAGAGATTAAGTAACTTGTTCAAAGTCACACTGCTGGTACAGGGCAGACCCAGGATAAGCAGCCCATGCTTCTATGTATGGCCGCCTCTAGTGAGGGTGCAAATATGCCTCTGTGGAGGGCATTCTAGACCTTGGTCCGAGAAGTAGATGATGAATCAAGAGAAAGATGGTGAAATAGGAGGTCTCAGCCCTCAGACCTCTACAGAAACACCGATTTAACAAATATCCATGGATGAAAATACCTCACAAGAGTGCCAGAATCCAATTGTATATGTTATATATGTACAGCTTTTTGTACGTCAATTATACATCAGTAAAGTGATTAAAAAAAATAGATGAAGAAGCATCCATGGGAAAATGAACACCCAAACTTCACTCTTTAGCATGACTCTAAACAGAACTGCTACTCTAGCCGCCTGTGAGGCAGGGGAGGACAAGGACTGGCCCAAGAGAGCTGACCTCATGAAAATCTGAAGTGCCCAGCTTCACCCACAGCAGCAGCCCATTGTGAAGACTGATTGGGGTGTCACCAGCCCAGGCAACCCCTAGTCTCCCCAGCTTGGGATGGTGAGCCTGTGAGGCAGAGGCCTTATAGCTTAAGCTATGACCACTTTCCCACCCCTAGACACTACATACACACACACTCCCACACCTCTGCATCATTCCAGTTTCAGTCCAGAACCTTGCTCACTAACCTTTGCTTGCATCCCACTCCTTCCCTGCCCCCAGCCAGGCCCCCAGACTCACTTTGGCTGGGGCCAGGAAGAACAGCATTCACCTCTCCACCTGGAGCCTCCGTGGGGGCAGATCTGAGCCACCCAGAGGTGTTGGGCAGGCAGGCACGTCCTCCTACTCCTGTCACTGTGACAGCTGCCACTGAGGCATTTCCTAATGACTGAGCAGGTCGGGAGGACAGCGCCAGGAAGTGAATGTCACCCAACCCGTTTGAGGCCAGGAGGCTCTTAGCTGCCCAGGGGTTTGGCAGCTGCTGGAGTCATGTGATCTTGATGAGGATGCTAGGAGAAGTGTCCCCAACCTGAAGAGGAGCCCAGGGATGGATGCTCAGGTCAGACAGAGGGTCTCACAAAGAGGCAGTGACCCAGTATTCCTTTGACCGAGGCTCCCCAGAGATGGGTCTCCCAACGAGATAGTCCTATGTTCACAGTCTTCCACCCTCCTCGACACATTTCAGTGGTCCTCCCCATCTCTCAGTTCTCCTGCCATGCACAGGCTAAAGGGGTCAGAATAGTCTCAGGAAGGCTATGACACCCAAAGTTGAATAGAAAGATTTGGGTGATCTGCCTATGTGTATTTGTCATTCACGGAACAGCCAAAAGGGGCTCAGAGCTCCAAAAGACCAACTACCACTGGGCTAAAGAATGAGGCAGAGTAAAACCAATGAATTAGAAATGCACACCCAAATGGAAAAAAGTCCCTGATATCATGTGAAATAGAAGTAAGTTTCAGAACAGTCTGTATAATATGATTCTATTTATAGAAATCATAATAACATATGATAATTTTTATAGAGAAATATCTGGAAGAAGACACATCAAACTTGATG